CATTGGAAGGTATTTATATATAAAATTATTTTCCACAAGGAAATCTCTATGCATATAAGTAAAACATAGAATTTTTGATATAATGAACTTGCTTTACATGAGCTGATTGTGGCTCCTGTGTCTATGAGAACACTGAGGCTATAGGGTTTTTAACCTGCAAAATTAAATGTTCCCAATACGTGTATTTTCTTTTTCCTTGGATAGGAGAAAAAATAATATCATCATTTTTTTGTTTGAAAATGATACATATATGCAGACTTAATATGTTCAAATTGTCTTCTTGTTCTTGGGAAAATAGGAATCTGAACATTGTTTGAAGTAATAGATTCTTGATTAGAATTATTACTTGATTCTCTAATGCTTAATTTTGAAAATGATTTGTTAGGAAAATCTTTTTCAAATACAGAAGTTGATCTTTAATTTTTGGAATTGTATTTTGAATATACAAATTTTTTCCTGATGCTTGCATTTGTAATTGTGCAGGATTTTTTGTTTTAGAAGATTCTTCTTGTTCCACTAGGTCATGGATTAACTATTGTCGAGGGATTTCCAATTTATTAAACGATATTCTATTACCGTGTCAAATGGTCTTGGTTCAAAGATTTCAACGATTTTATTATCGTTTGATCTTGTTTTTGTTTCAGGAAATTTGGTCAATTCGTGAATTGTTTTCCAACGAATAGCCAAATCATGAGAATTTGATTTCATTCCTAATCCTTGTGTTTTAATTCTTATTCTAACTGTGTCTTCAAGATTAGGATCATTTATGAAAATAAAAAAATTTGGTCTAACATTAAACCAAACTACTCCATTAGCCAAATTAAATTGGATTCCTCCAATGATTGCTTTCATTGGGTCAGAAAATCTTTTGTCAAAAATTACAGCCAAAATAGGAGTATCTATCCTTTGGCGAAATAAGGCTGTTATGGTTACTTGAATTAATTCAATATGAATATATTGAATTTCAGGATATTTCTTTTTCCATCTTGCAACTTTTTTCTTATAAAAAAAAAAAGAATATCAATATTTCCTTCTTCTGACCATTTTGTTTTAGTGTTACCACTATATTGTTCAAACACTCTTGCTGAAAAGAAGTTAAATTTTGAAAGTTTATAAATTTTTGGAACAAAAACTTCTTGCATTTTTGTTTGAATTTTGCTAATTCTTCTTTAGTAAAAATTTTTTCTTCTCCGATTACATCTCCAAGTCGAATTGCTTGTAATTCTTTTTGAGATATACTATCTGCTTCTTGAGATATTTCTTGATAAAGATTAGTTCTTCATCTGACTTTCTTTATCACTAGAAATTTCGTATAAGATTTCTTCTTCATCAGAAATTTCTTGGCCATATATTATTTCAAAATCTTGTTCTTCTAGAATTTTGATCATTTTCTTTGCATTTTTTTTTCCCTTTTTGAGCATTCGGGTGCATGGTGACCTTCTTCGTTATAAATGTAACATTTACATATTTTTTTTTGAAACACCTGTTTGTTTGTTTTTTTTGAATATACTTTTTCTTTTTTGAAAAAGTTTTGTTCTTTTTCCAAGGTTTCCATTATATTTTTTGTATTTTTTGAAAAATCATTTTTCGTTTAGGAAATGTATTACAACCAATTTTCTAATTTTCTTTTAAAATTTTATCACAACATTTTTGACCGTATTGTGAGTTGGAAATTTGATTTTTTATTTGTTTTTTCGCCTTTGCTTCTAGACACCGATCTGCTATCAGTTTTATAACATAATTAATGTGAAAACCAAGATTATCATATTATTCCTTCCCCATTTTTGTGAGAAAATCATGATATGTTTTAATACATAACTCATCCCATGGATTAGGGAATTTATGAAAAAATTGATCTAACTATGGTTGATTTGCTGGTGGATCAATAAGATAATAATATTTTTTAAAAGTTTGAACATAATCTTCGAAAAGACAAATATTACATAATTCTAATTTAGTCAAAATATAATTTGCATCTACTTGCAAATTAGTATCTCCTACAAAACCACATAAATTTTCTTTTATGATTTTTGCAAATTCAGCTAAGATTGTATCAAGTGTGAGAAAATTTGCCAACAAAACTGTTTTTTGACTTTTTTCAATTTCAGATTTTTCTCACTGTCTTAACCATTGCAACACATCGCTTGGAGAGTTGCTGCAATATAATCAAGGAATTTTTTCTTTGACCAACTATTTTTATAATTGGTAATAATGATGGACAATGATTGTGCCAAATCATCAATTGCTTGTGGCTGATCCTTAAATGGAACATGAGACAAGTCTAAATAAGTACCATTTTGAGCTATTGGATACTTGTGATTATTATATTTTCTAGATATTATTGGCTCAGGTATAAGATTGGAGGTACTTCCAGTGTTAGTATCATTTTTAACTTTATTTGTTTGAATAAAGTCAAAATTTTCTCCATCTTCCCATGTGCCAAATAATTTGGGATCAATTGGCTCTTCTGCCTTTCTTTTTCCCTTATTTATTTCTGGTGAAACATCTTGATCTATTGTTTCTTCAGATGAAGGTGATTGACTATCATCATCATTAGTTGACATATTAATATCATAATTAAAGCGCTGTAAAAGGGTTTCATGTTCTAGATAAGTTTCTCTTATCTGATCTAGTAGCCTATTTCTTTCATCAATACCTAAATCTGAGTCTTTATATAATTTTCTCCAATAATCCAATATTTTAACAGTATTTTCATATCCAGTCCTATTATAGGTATTGGTTTGAAGTACCATAATATCTTCTGTACCATAAAATGGCCTAGGAATGGAGTTATCTCCTGGACTATTCATTCCATCATTGTTTATAAAGGATATAGTTTCTAATTTTATCACCAAATTGTTTATTTGATTTTTTACTTCTTTGTTTAAGTCAATATTTATTATAGAACCCAAATTGTCTATTTTAGATTCTATAGACTCAACTTTGGTTTCTAGATAATTTTGATTTATTTTTTGATTTTTATCTAATTTAGAAAATCAAAAACATATAATATCCGTAATATTATTTAAACTGGAACACACACTATTTATATTTACAGACTCTTTAATAATATGCAAACTATGGACATATTTATTATTAATATTATTTTTTATATTTCCAAAGCATATTATATCTTCAAGATTAATTGCCATTATAGATTGTTGTTGGTACTTAAGACCCTTCTAGTGTATTTATCTGGTGTCTAAAACCTCTCTTTATGATCTTAAGGACTTAAAAATGCCTAATTATGGCCACTAGTCAAAAAATCTTAATGAGTATATGGGTTTTGACATACACTAAGCATATAGGTTTTACAGCAACTATAAATGAAACAAATAATTATGAAGAAATAAAATGCAAAGGATACACAATTAAAGACTAAACTTGATAATTTTTTTTTTTAATAACATAAAGCACACCATACACATTTATATATATCAAAAATTTAGACATAGAGAGAAATACTTACATAACTTGATCTTACTTTCAAAAACTCTTTACCAAGCTCTGATACCAATTACAAAACAAAAAAAGTAAAGGAGTTTTTTATTATTATGATGAAGTTATGGTGTTAAAAGAAGTTAGAAGTTAGAGACGAAGTAAGCAACCAAGGATGGAGAGAATTTACATTGTATATTATATTGGCTTGAAGGCCAATTTATAGATTATATCTTACATATACAAACAAAAAGTCATCAAATCTAACCATAAGCTTTTTTGGTCTTCTAACAATCTCCTACAATTTCTACAATTATATATATTTTTGCAATTATATATACGGGTTGTTTGGGATGTCTTAAATAAGTGCACTTTTTGACTTTTTGGATTAAAAAGTTGAGGAAAAAAATATAGTTGTTTGGATTAACTTTTTGACTTTTTATAGAAATATGTGTATTAAAAAATTATATAAATTAATGTGTAAGGAAAAATTAAGATTGAGAGTTGTGCAGCCGTACTTTTTGACTTTTGATAAATAATGATAACTTTTAAACTTTTTGAATAATTTTTTGACTTTTTAATTTTTTGGACACATGCTAAACTTGGCCATACTGTCTACAAGCTTGGAAGACATTTCCTATCAACCAATTAAGCTGGCACCTGGGATGCCTGCCTTAGAGCATCTCCAATGGTTTGCCATTGGAGCTGCCATTGCTATATATAGCAGCTGCCATTGAATTTTGATACTCCAATGGCAAAACATAGCAGCTGCTAAATTTGAGAAATGCCAAAACTTGTGTCAAATTTGACACAAGCTTTGGCAGCTGCCATTCATGCCAACTCAGCCAAAACCAACGGTTTCCCTCCCTCCATGCCAACTCAACCAATTCATCAAACAGATTCACAATTCACAGAAAAAATTTATTATCTGTTTGTCAATTTGATTCATCAAACAGATTCACAAAAAAAAACAAATCCAAAAAAATTACAGATTCATAGATTCATCAAACAGATTCATCAAACAAATTCAAACAAATCCAAAAAAGATTATCAGTCCATATACGTATTTTGTATCTGGGTCAACAGAGTCCAATAGAGTATCATCCACACTCCATGAATCTAATACGTGTCGTGCACTTATTGGTGTCCTTCCTAAACTGCATTAAACCCAACCGGAGGAAAGCGAGGCTCCGTAGGACCGTTTGTTTTCGAAGAAAGGAGATTCATATTGAGGGGATTAATAGTGAGGAGATTATTAATGAGGGGATTGATAGTGAAGAGATTAAGTAAAATTGTGTTTGTTTTGATAATAGTTGTTAGTGTAAGAATTGTTAAATTATTTTTATATAAAATAATAAAATAAATAAATAAATATAAAAAATTAAACATTAATATTTAAAAAAAAATCTCAATATATAAAAAATAAAATTTTTTTCAATCCTCTCACTATTTTTCTAATATCATCTCTACCTCTTCCTTCCCAATCCCCTTTCTAAGATCTTTACTAATACCAAGAGATTAAAAATCCCTTCCCATCTCCCAAAATAAACGACCCATATAATAATCCCACATCGCAGTCAATCTCAATACCCTGTAAACCCAAACAAACAAACGGGGCCCTAGCATAATATAAGGGTTTTAGAACCTCCACATCTCTGCCTTTGTCACAGTGGTCGCTGAGAGAGCTCTCGCCGCCTCCTCCATTTTTCCTCGGTAAATCATTTCTCTCTCTCTCTCTCTCTGCATATCATTTTCTTCATCTGTTTATCGATCCTGTTTCTGAACCGAGCTCTGATCTGTCTCTATTCGTTTGTAGCCTTGTAATTTTTGCTTGTTTTTTATTCGAACTCGCATGATTCTTCGTATCTTTTGTATTTTATTAACTTTGAGTTATCGATTCTGTCATTTCTGCATTTATTTCAATAAGATTTGTCCCTCCGTGAAGTTTTTCACCTGTTATCTGTTTAGATCTATTAAAGATACGCCGGAGTATATAATAGTGTTGTACTATGATTTGTTTCTCACTTGATTTGAATAATTGTGTTTTAATTATGTGATTTCATGTGTTATTTGAAGTATCTGTTGGAGTGTGCTGAGGGAACTGATGTATTATTGGTGTTCTTTTGAGTATGAATTTGAATTTTGTTTTTTTAGATTTCATTATAATGTATTTGGCTTGGTCTAGTGGAGGTTTTGTTCACTGAATTGTGAATTTATTTGTTGATGGAATCTCTTAAGTAATCAAAAGTAGTTTAGAATCTTTAGATCCAAACTTTTCAAATATTATTGTGTTGGAGTGTTTCGTGTATCCTAATGTGAGTTCCCATATCTATCACCAACAAGCATTGTTGTCAAATCGTGTATCATTTTGCTAAAATCGTGAATCATATTGAATTGTGAATTGTAAGATTCACTTTATTGTATAATATGTACTTTTTTTTTGGTGTTTAAAATAAAATAAATATCAATATGACTAATTTGTTGATCTCTTTTCTTTTTTTTTTTTTTTATTATTTTGTGAAAACGATGTCATTTCATGCATTATGCAAACAAATCTGATTTGCTTGAATTGCTGTGAATTGTAATGAATCACAAAGTTGTAGTGAATCGCAATTGAATTGTAAGATTCACTCAATTTAAGATTCAACTGTATGAATTGAATCGTTTTGCTTGAAACTCGTATCGAATCGTACCAATTGAATCGTGAATTGTAAGATTCTAACAACCATGCTAATAAGTATAAATTATGTCAATCACGACACAATGCTTTCATGCATTGCATGGTTTTGACTATTTAGATGTGATTTTTTAGGTTTTGAACTTTTGTGCTATCTTTTGTTATCTGTTGATCTATTTGACAGAGATAAATGATGGTTTTTGGTTGAAATTTATTTGCTTATTATGTTTTAATAATAGTGCTCTTCAAAATTTCATTTGGATCTTTTAAAATCTTCTTGTATTTTTTGTAAAAATTTTAATGTGACACAAAAAATGAAGTTTCGTTCAATTTTAATAGAATTTTGCTTCTTAACCAAATAGAATTAAGGAGAGAGCTTTATATTATTTTGGGAAAGCATGTTTTGTTAGATTCACATTGATTTTTCACCTTGTGGTGCATTTAATGAAATTAAATAATTGCCCTAGATAATTGTATTTGGTTAGATAATTTTTTGTGAAAATTAACTGTCTTTGGATGTTGTGAAATCTTTTTGTTGAGATATTTATGTAGTTTTTTAACAATAAAAAATTATTGTGCAACTGTCATTTTTTGGGATTTTACTACAAAATTGGGTACGTTGTGAATTATATATAATGAAATTTGTACTTGTAATGCATTTTAGTTGCTATGTCTCAACTCAACTTAGCTGCATCTGCCCTTTCCTTGAGTGGAATTCTGAACTAAGTTCACGTAGACATTTGTTGTGGGGCTTGATTTCTTGTAGGCTTGTTTGATAACACCGTCATTTGCTTTTATTTTATTTTTTTCCTTTTTTTTAAAACAAGGAATAAAACACATTTGGTAATGTTTTTGTTAAAAAATACTGGGGGCAGTTTTTCAAAATTTTGTGAAAACTAGTGAACAAGAAAATGTGCTTTCACTTGTTTTGGGAACAAGTTTCAACCTCCTTCTTCCCTCATGTTTTCGGGAGACCCTATATTGGTTTTAATATTGGTTTGTGCAATTACAGTGTATGGGAGTGGATTTGTATTATTAACTGTATGGTACAAGATGAACTGCAAAGAACCTAAACCATTTTCATTTGCTTCTGCTTCTTCAACTTTTACTAGAGTATGGATACGTTGATATATTTTCTTGTAATGTGGTTCAAGCATTCTGCTATTCCTTCGTAGAGTAGCTACTTGTTTCTGTTGAAGTGTCGTGACATATTGTTTAGTGAAGTTTTTATTAAGATTTTGTTTTGCTTATATTCACTGATCCTTACTTGGTCTTGCTGCTGATGACTGTGAATCATTCCAGGTGTTCTTGGACAAACATCTTTCAAACTAGTACTTCGTGTTGTATCATTTAAAAGTCATCACAATGGTAAGTAGTACTTTTTAAATTTTTTCTGAAGTCAGTTTCCAATGTTGTGGTAAGTGGTTTCTTATGGGGTAATTTACCTAATATTTGCAGGTGAAGTTCACGGTTGATGGACTCCGTGGGATTATGGACTACAAACATAACATCCGTAACATGTCTGTTATTGCACATGTTGATCATGGTAATGAAATCTATCTCACATTTTTGTATAGTTTTTTGTTAACAAATGCGTGCTTTATGCAGATAGTTTGACTAACTTCAGATTTTCTTGTCATGTTCAAATTTTTGTGTCGTAAAACAATTTAGCCATGGAAATCTTTAGTTAGGGAGAAACTGAATTGGAATACATGATTCTTGGTGTCTGGGCTTTCCCATTATAGTTAGATAAATGTTCACGCTTCTCCCAGTCATTCATAGAGTTAACTGTTTGGGACATGGGAACTTCCAGTGGTGCCTTTCTTGGGTCTATTTTGATCTACATTTTAATAATACAGTTGCATTCATGGTTATCGGAATCCTAATCTAGATCATAGGATCTTACTATTCTACGATCCCAATTGGACCAAACAATCCGAATCACACTAGATCTTAAAGTGATTATGATCCTAATGACAAAATCATGTAGGATCACACAATGATCCCGATCATACCAATTTTTTTTCTTATTATTTATTATTTATTTCTTATATATGTTTGTATAAATCTATATAAAAAATTTGACTATAAACTCTTTCTTCAAATGGATCCTCTAATCTATGTTATCTT